ACTTGGTGTAAATGTTCACCTCTTCTTCATTACTATAGCTTCTCTTCTCTTCTATCCAATTGGAGAAGTTTTTTATAACTTCATTGAATTGAGTTTTGTCCCACCTTTTGTAATTTCATATCACAAGAAAAACAGCACACATAATATTTAAATTATTCTAAGCGTGTCAATAAGCCTATTATGCATGCAAACATGCCCCATTATATTTCCTGCAATCATCACACAAAAATATCCTTGTCCATTTGACTGTTTGAGTCATGTCCGAACACCCAGAAAAGAAAATACAACAAAGATATCTGTAAAATTATATCAAAGTCAACAACAAAAAGCCACTACTCTTGAAAAGGAACCTAAAGAATCAGACTACTTTTTTGAGTTGAACAATTGCAGGATGGAGATTAAGCCATCAATCTTTGGGATGGTAATTAGTATTGTATTCCACTTATGCTCAAATTGGCAATTTCAAGCTAATTATTGTATTCCATAAATTGCATCAACATTTTTTACAAACAATCATTGGTGTTTGGACTATTTAGCTTAATTGGAACATGGTGTGTATAAACTACATCAATTAACAAGAAAAGTACTCGTTCAAAGCTATTAAAAAGTACAGCAACATACTTCTGAAGTTCTCGGATGATCCCAATCCCGTTCTGGCACTGATATGAACATGTTGGGAAAGAAAATCGCGGATGACTGGTGCCAATTGTATAGCAGGCAACTGCTCCAGCACCATGAATTTCATATGCAGATTTCAGACCTCCATTTTGTTTGTCAAAACCATACAACATGTTGCAGCACCTAGTAGCACTGTGACTGTCATCTCTTTCTTCGTTGGATAACAAAAGATAACCAAGCAGGTTCCTGTTTGGAACATGTTATTTAGACCCTTCAATACAATAGTATGGTGGTATAATGACAAGCAAAAATAGAGGGCCATTTACTAAATAAATCTAGAGAGAGGAATCTGATGAACCAAAGCCAACAATGGGCAGACATAATGCACTAATAACAATAAAAATTCATCACACAAATAAAATACGTTGGCAAACTTTTACAAGATCAAACTAACCCAAGCAAGAAGAAAGGTCAATCAATCATGCCAAATTCATAAGATTAGTATGTAATCCCCCCACCTCCTCAACGAAAAGAGAAGAGAAGAGAGAAGGTTCTTGAACATGGTAAAGTATACTTGCGGGACTTCAGCAGCAGTACCTAACAACACTAGACTCGTGAAATTATGAAATGATTTAACAATCAAACACTACGGTGAAATAATTCTTAGTGGTAAATCAAGTGCAAAATTAGGCTTATAAGTTATATTTTAAGAAGGGGAGACCAGGTTAATTGTGAAGAAAGGTTGATCTTCATCATAGAGTAGATCTACCTTATCAAACTACTATTGGGGTATGCATGAAGAGCTTTTCTGAGATGCATCACTCCACTCCGAAATCCTAGGCAGTTATCGGATCGATGTTTGATCTGTTTGGCCAAAAGGATCATATCAAGTCACTGTGTTAACAACCAGATATGATTATTATATGGACAAATTCAGAAGATGAAAAAGACTCAGGTTCCAACAGCTAGAATAGGAAGCTAACCAACTTAGAGAGAGCAATCAAAAAGTGCATTTTAGTGATCTCTTCATGAGACCGGAGACACGAACGGCTGCTTAAAACAATAGGCTCAAGCCGATCACTCCAATCAATAGCATGAATAGCAAACACTACAAAGCTCATTTTTGAACTCTGGAAAAAATCTTTTGGCATCTTCATGATACTGCTAATTGCTGGATCCAATCCGGATATTGTATACAACAATCTACATATGAAACTAACAGATGCTGCAACGCATGTTCTTTCCATGGTAGAGATGCCAGCAGCAAGGGTTCTCACAGCAGTAAGGGCCTGTTCATTTTTTCCAAATTGCCATAGAGAAAAAGCATATACCTGCAAACCTTGAACATCGAGCATGCCTGGAACCATAAAAAATTTCAAATCTCCAATACTAATTTGCTAGAGATTTCTCATTCTTTTCGTATAACAATTAGAGATTTCTCACTTGTATAACAATTAACTGAAAAAAGTTAGCTCCAATAAGTAAGCCAAAATCAGAACCTTCTTTAGTCAAATTTTCACATTCCTGCGAAGCTTCAAAGAAATTACCCACCTGCACAAAAGAAATAGCAGTTCAGAGAGAGGAAATTCTCTTTTTGAGTTTATGTAAGAAACTTCTCCATCAAGAATAGTAATAGCAAGAGAAAACCAGAAGGGATTTAGGTTTCATGGTACACAAGTATAGGTCAAGAAGAAAAAATTCTTGTAAAATTTACCATGCAGAGTGATCTGGCTAAGTTGATTGATATATCTCTGACATGAGACCTTGGAACCCTATTTGAAAAATAGCTGATTGAGAGGCGTGCTAGACGATAAGCAGCAACAGCAGATTGATAGTCTAAGTGTGCCTCAAAAGCTAGTCCATTCAAATTATGGGATTCCGGGTAACAAGGTGCAAGTTGAACAGCCTGACGTATGGCTCCAAACACCTGGACATAAAAAAAATTCATTAATATCTTCTGAAGCAAAAAGGATATCGAGTAGAATTTAATCTACCAATTAACAATAATCATACCTGTGGAGATGAAAGATGGCCTGCCTGCAGAGAAAGCCTGGCAAGACCAATTTGGAATTCCGCCACCTACAAAGGATATGGTTTTTTTTAGAATATTTTGTGGATAAACACCACTAAAGAGCCAATGGCTGCACACAATCAATAAAAAGAAAAGCTATAAAAAAAAATGTTAGAAAGAAACTTGAGAGCCGAGATTTGGGGTGTCGGGAGGCTGAAAATGGAAAAGAAAGAAATTAATTTAACAATTATTATTATTTCAAATAACCAAACGGAACAGAGAACCTGATTCCATTATCTTAAAACAGAAGCAAAATGAGCCAATCCTTTCATCCTTTCAGTTATATTATATGAATGATATGAAAAGACAGAAAAATTACAGGTAGTATTTGAGCAGCTCTCAAACAGCTTTCAAACGCTTCATCTGATGTGGACTCCCTGTCAAATAGAAATCTCATCAATCAAACATCCTTGATTTCCCACCCCCCACCCACAAAAACAAATCTTTTCCTCATGATGAAAAACATATCCAAAAGAACATTTCTATATCACCTAATGTTCAAATCAGCTGACATGCCAGCCCAGGGTATCGCTAGCGAAGGATCTATACTTCTGGCGTAATCAAATGCCTCCTTTGCCAATTGCTTCTCACCCCTATTCCTGTATAGCTGTAAAGGAATGTGTAAGAAACATAGAAAAGTTCCAAAGTCAAGGAACATGAAAATCTTCATCATCGCCAAACCAAGCATAAAGTACATGCTTGCACTGCCCACACATTTTCCAACCACATCCAATTTCCCCCAATGTGTTCAAAAGATTGAGCTGTTCCATATTCTATCATTCTCAATTTCAGGGGTATTCTTGTAAATCTCATCACTTGTGTATGGGTTCTTTGATAGAGCAAAGATTTTTCTTCCCCTGCCCATTAGTACTTCCATAATTTGCAACAGAATTATCAGCTATCATTTATTGTATAATAAAAATGTTTAATCCTTCTCCTAAACCGTTCTCTCTTTTTTTCCTTCCTAAATAATCATGTGACGAGAATTCAATTGTTTGACGTCTCTCTAATTCCTATTCATGTAAAAGGTAATCGAAGTAGGGATAAGAAGACTCAAAACATCATATTTATAAAACCATCCAAATCTATCATGGTAAATGAAGCATATTTCACTAATTTCATTTAGTACGAAGGATATAAGTGGTACATGAGTAGATAACAAGCCAGAAATAATTATTGACAAGTAAGAGCATGTAACTGTGCATTTACATTATTAAACGGAGTTATAAATTTTAATCATTAGATAACAAAAGTAAACTAAACGTCATTTGAGAATGGGAATAAGATTGAAATGGCTACCCCACCTAAGGGCGGAGCAAAGAAGGAGCCCCCCTCTTACTTTTTCGATCTTTTGCCCTTTTCTCTAATTCCCCTCTAAATTTGTAGAATTGAAAGTTCTTTTTTTTAGTACTTTAAAATTGGAAGTTTATAGATATAAAAAGTTATAATATAAATGTTTACCCCTCCCTAAAAAAATTTCTGGCATTGCCCTGACCCTGCCCAATGGTCTAACATTCCCATATAAATACAGTACATTCTCAATCTGTTTGGCAGCTCTATCGCAATATCCAAGGCTTCTCGGAGGTGAATGATTTTTAAATATAAAAATATAACTGAGGGTTGAATTTTCAATGAAGTAAACATGACTTTGACCTCATAGAACCAATAATTCATGAATTTAATCGCTCACAGCTCAAAAAAAAATTCATTAAATGATTTGTGGTCCAAGCTCATGTTTTGTTTTGCAGATCATTATTCTCCTAAAACTCCTCCCTTTTTGAGCCTCACAAACCACACTTTCAATTTTATTTCTAAAAAGGTTTTAAAAATCCTGAAAAATGACACGTTCTTAAAGCAGTATACTAGTATATAAAAATACCTTCCCAAGATAAGCCCAGGCTACAGCTAGAGATCCGTCTAACTGCAATGCCCTTATGTAAGCATGTTGCTTCAATGCATCCTGGTTAGAGAGGCATCCCATTGCCACCCAAAATTCATGATTGTCACCCTCGAGCATCAAGGCCCCTAATGTCATCTTTTCAGATATCTGCCTGGAATGGAGGATGAGAATCTAAGAAAGTTGTCGAATAATACAATGACATCAGAAGAGGACAGAGTAAATAGATGCCATACCAGGAATTGAATCCAGATCCAGAGTCATTGCTCGAGGAGGAAATAAGATCTAAAGTGATAGCAATATCTGTGTAAATATTAGCTTCCCATGGAGCCAAGTGCAGAGCTTGCTGGTAGGAACATCTGGCAGAAAATAAAGCCAAACTGCAGGTCTGTTTCCAGGAGAGGACGGAAGATCTAAAAGATTCTGAACTCATTCCTACTCCACAGTCATCTCCCATCCATGGATAACATTTTGCATACGTAAGCTAAATAAGATATATAATTCATATCACATGATTGGATTTGGTCATGTCAGAATACGAATAGCACGATGAAGTGTAAGCAAATATTAGCACTGGACCAATGTTTCTAGGTTTTAGAGGCTTGCTTCAGGGAGGGGCTCAAACTTTTAGCCCCAAAGTTTATGCTTCTTTGAATCATACAAGGCTTATGCCTCTTGTATATGAAGCTTGCACCTCCATGAGAATGCACAATTTGTGTGTCTCATGTAATGGTTAGAAGAAGAATGATAATTGGCTAATTGTTCTGTACAATATGAAAATTCATGTCTATAATGCTAATACTAATACATCATAAACTATGGTAATCCAGCCGCCCATTAAATGGCGCTTTACAATCTTTATTCAAGTAAGTTCAATTGAGAGAAGTTAGTTCTTTTTTCATTCTATAAAATCATTATGCTCAGTAATACCTAATTATACATTTTTATGATTTTATTATTGTTTTTTATTAGTTAAAATACTATTTTGGTCCATTTTAGCACCTGTACTTTTGAAAGGTTCGTTTTGATCCCTGTATTTTTTTAAAATGACCATTTTGGTCCCGAGTTACAAAATTTTAGCACAAATTCTACGAATAATGAGAACTCTTTAACATAAAATCATGGTTACATTTCAAAAAAAATATTGAGTTCACTATTGTGTTGAAGCTGTGACAAAAAAAATTAAATTAAAAATAAAATTAAAAGACCAAAATGACCATATTTTAAAAGTCCAATGACCAAAACGAACATTTTGTAATTACGGAAACTAAAATGAACATTTTGAAAATACAGGAACCAAAATGAACCAAAGCTTAAAGTAGAGAAACCAAAATAGTATTTCAACCCTTTTTTTATTTAAATTAGGGCTAACATCTCACACTTCTTCCCAAAGTTGCCTCTAGCCTTTTAGAACATTAATGGGAACTATAGTACCCTCAAAAATTAGGTCCACTTTCCCATTACCTAACCTAAGATGAAATAAAATCAATAGGCTAACTTATTTAAAAAGAATCATGCATACCTGAATATCTCCAAGCAACTTCCAAATACACGACAAGTTTCCAGCTAAATGAGTACTTCCTCTTGCAACTTTAGATGCTTCCTAAAATCAGTAAAATAAAATCTTGTAACGAAAGAAAAAGGGTTAAAAAGTAATATCATTCAAATACAAGATCAAACCTCTGACAAAAAGGATGCCCATTTAAACGCCCCTTTATTAATGCATTCCTTTGCCAAACCAAGAAGCCCTGAAGAGAGCCCAAATTGTGCAGTAATACTTTTAGGTGATATCTCTAGAGCTTGCTGAAAGTGTTCAACTCCCTTTTCAAATTCGTTAAAGCATCATGACCAAATAAAATAAGTGACTTGGGAAACGTATCAGAAGTTTCAAAGGCATATGAATCTCTGGTTAATAAATAAATTTAATTTCAAGTGCAGATATATATAACTGCATCAATGCAGAGGCAACTCACCCATATATTTCCCCAATCACTCAAACTCACAACTCATAAGTTTTAAAGAAAAAGAGCTCCTTTGGAAGCACATTATTAGAGCGTTTATTTTACAACATGGAATGAAAGGAATCAAAAGACTTTTTGCTGAAAAAGAGCTTTCATGTGATGGACTCTGTGACAACATTATTTTTCATGCTATTTCTTGGTGTAAATCGTCTTCACTCTTTCCTCATATAATTTTTATTCTCGTTTGACCAATTGGAGAAATTTCTTCTAACTCCATCAGTTTTGGGGTTCCCCCCCTCCTCTTTTAATTTCATACATCACATTGTTTCTTATTAAAAAAAAGGGCACAACAAAGATATCTTATTCGTTTACATAACTGCTCAACTAAACCAACAATGTATTATTTCAACAACATTAATCCACTTCTAAATAAAAACATGAATAAGGCAGGTTCATCAGGGAAAGTTAGCTAACTCTCATTGTCCAGCCAACAACCAAATGTCAGACGCACAATCAATACCATATAAATGAATGAAAGATAGCAATCTGTAAATACAAATATGGTAGACAAGTCTTACTTTCTTGAACGAACCAAGCGTCAAGAAAATATTTCCACTCTCAACCCAAGCAAGAACTCTATCTTCTTCAATTTCAATGGCCCGAGCATAAGACTGTTCAAAGAGAAAATAATGTAGGCTTTAAAATGAACTCTATCTCACTCCACAAAAGAAGAGAAAAACAACTCTGTTCATCAGAGATAGGGAAGAAGAAAACCAATACCAAAGGTAGAAGATCGAGAAATCAACTACCTTAATTGCAGCAGTAAATCTGCCAAGTCGCTGATACGCAAGACCCAGGGCCTAAAACAATTAGGTAATTCAACATTAGCTGGACTCAATAGGTACAATGAAAATGTTTAAAAAAATTAAAGCTTACTTCCCACAGATCAGCACAAGAAGGATATCCTCGAATGGCATGCTGAAGACTTAGAACAGCTTCAGCCCATTTCTTTTCATAAACCTGCCAATAGGTAAGCAGTAGAACAGAGCTAAGAGAAAATAGAATGCAAAGTCAAGTTTATACGTTGTTTTAATACTGTAATTTTTAATAATATTCATTAATGGACTTCTAACAGATTTAATGTAAAGGTGTTCAAAATTATGAAAACATATCATGTGTTCGTTCCAGGCCAATATATGATTCACGGCAGTAAATTGATGGGGTAACATAATATTAAAAGATACAATCATTTCCAATTTATAAAGTAAATTGAAATGTCAGACAATTATTATAAGCAATCAATCTAGTAATCAGTAGTTTTATGTTATGGTATCATGTTATTTTTAATTATAAAATTGAATCAAATATGTTATAGATAATATGGTAATTACAAATGATAGTGTATATCGTTAAAACAAAATTGATTAATTAATGTTAAATTATATTGACTACTTATAAGTTTGGGTTTTAAAAAATTAAGTATATTTCCTCACAATTACTTTATTTGATTTCAAATTTCTTTCCGAATGGTTCTTTATTAAATTTTGACTAAGATTTTAAAAACATTTATAAAAATAGATAACAATCTTATCTAAAAAAATAAAAATAGATAACAAGGACGGGAGATGGAACCTCCAACCTCTAAATAATAAGAGTTATGCTCATGTTGGCCATAAATATAGTGTTTACCAGCATAAATTTCAAAACCTAAAAACCAAATATTATTTATGTATAATAATAATATTTTAATTCTAAAAATTTAAGAGGCAAGTAAAAGTAAAAACTTCTAATTCCTTTACACAAAATTTTAAATTTAAAACACTGCAATGACCAATTGCCCTACTCCTTACGTCCCTGGTGTTGTTCAACAGTACTGAGATAACGGGGAAAATAGAATGATAACAGAGAGATAACAGCCAAAAGTTGAGAACCTGCAAGTAGCCCAACCTCCGGAAAGCCCAGAAGGCCCTGGGTGACTTAGCAGAAGCCTCTTTGCATATAGCAACCTCTAGACTTTCCTTTCCTTCATGGTGTAACAGATTGCACAAGGCTTCCTATTTATAATCGTCAGTAGGAACAATATTAAAACTGGTATCGGATAACACGGAGAAATAGACCAAGTAAAATAGAAGGAAAGACGCACCCCAGATTGAAAATCTTCAGCATCGAGACTGACAGCTCTCTGGTAGCACTTAAGAGCCCTCTCGATATCGACAGAAAATGTGGCGTAATAATGCCCTAAATATTTGAAAGCGGCACCATTCCGATTGTCTAACTTGGCTGATTTCAGGAAATGGTCCGCCGCAGCCGCCTTATCGTGGCTTCGTCCATTGTCCCACAGGAAAATCCCCTAAAATTTGCAGATGCAGAATTTTGTACATAAGTTATACATTAAATATTGTTTATGAGCACGCGGGGCTGAATCAATGATGTGCGAAAATTACGAGTTTCAAATGGGAAGAGGGGTCGTCTGGATGAGCGTCAACTGCTTCTTGCAATTGTATTGTCGTAATATAAGGGGTCCCCGGTTCTCCTACATGTTCTTTTTCTACTGCAATCTCTTCCTGGTACGATAATGAAAAGAAAAGGAGAGAAGTCAATGAAACCAGGAAGAATCAACTGTGACGGTAGAAGATGGGGAAGACCAGAAGAGAGAAGAAAGCGTGCCATTGTTATGCCAGTAACTGACGTTGTTGTGCATCTGAGTACTAAACAGTAAACCCTAAACCGCCCTGAAAGCTCGCTCTCGTGGTTCGCTCACCAGCTAATGTCAAGTAAATGTAAATCCATCCTCCGCGGCCGGAGTAGCACATTAACAGCGCCTCGATGGTTTTTATAGTTCTTTTTAGCTAAAGAGCGGAAAATGGCCTCGATATTTGAGGTGAAAGAAAATGGGAAAATATAATGGTTGTGAATTGTGATTTATAGAGGAAATAAAAACAGAGTTGGTATTTGTTTTGAAATATATGTTTATCGGTATATTTTAGAAATTAAATTTCAATTTAAAGAAGTATTTAATAATATATGTGTAAATTAAGGTAGTTACCAACTTAATATTTAATTTAATTTAAGATAATATTAACTAATTTATATATACGTTATAAATTTTGTGTAAATATTATTTTTGTTATATTATATACTTTATAATAGTAATATATTTTATATATTGTAATTTTAACAAAAATAAATGAGTTCATAACATAAAATAATATGTTTATGGATATTTTATCTCTATTAATTATGTATTTTAAATTTAAATTTAAATTCCAAAAAACTAAAAACATAAAAATGTTAGTTTCCATAATTTTATTATTGGATCACATAATTCTTTTAAAATAAATATGTCTAACAAGTATTCGTTAAATCCATTAAATTCAGTATACAAAATTGCAAAAACATTTTTAAAAAACAAATCTAACAATATTAAGCTAAAGCGAATTCGAATTGCATAACAAACCTTCCCTGAGTTCTTTTTTTTATTTTTAAATCAACTAGTGGGATTCACTTTAATTTTGAAAATCATTTATTCGAACTTATTTGTATTCCTTCCTATAAGTATCTATCATTTCTATTTGTAAAATTATCAAAATATCATAGTTCCAAATAAGGTTGGGTCCTGAATTAATAATTAAGTCGTTGTGTTCTAATTGTATTGTTTTTAATAAAGAAAATGAAAATTTCGTGAGTTCCGTTCCTACGAAATGAAGGGAGCTGACATCAGATGATTGAGGGGTATGATTTGGAGGATTGTGGGGAGTTTGTAAGGTTTGGAATTGATGAGTGGCGCAGAGAATTATGAAATGATCGCCACATCAATTTAAAATCATAGTCATATATATATCCAAATAAATCCACATTTCCAGTTATTGTATGTCTCCACTCCAGTACATGAAAAATTATACCTGATACCAAATAGGCATGCATTTGCATCAATCATAATGCATGTACAGGTTAGGTTAGCTTAGGTAGTTGTTGGTTTGACTTTTTATTAATGAAATAGGATGGAAAAAGGAATTAGATTTGGGCATCTCCATGCAAGGAAACAACATAGAATTTACATAAAACATAAGAGAACTGAGATTTGAGAGTTTGTGTGGTGGAAAAACAGCCTTTGGTTTCAAACTCAGATCCATCAACTTTGGCTGCGCTGCGGGGCTTCACATTCTGTCTTCTTCCGGTTCCGCCTTCACATTTGAAATCCAATCCCATGTACCGCTCGCCCTCTGACTCTGACTTGCATTAACAATATTTAATTAGGTTGCCACCCCCGCCCTCCGCCCTTTGCCGCTCCTTCTTCTTCTCGCCCTCTCCTCCAATTAATGTGGACATACACAAAAAACACAAGCAGCTGGACGCCCCCAATAATATGGATCGAATTTGGAATTTCTCGATCGGAAGTGGATAATTCCCTCTTACTTCAATTCATTAACATTGAAAAATTGGATCTCGGAAGTCAGAATGAAAAGAAAGTTACACATCCATCTAACCCTCTTAGCTTCTCCAATTTTGTTTCTTTACATAGGAGAATTGTATGTATGCGCCTATGGAAATTATCAAACACATATATATCAGAGCAGAGCAGAGCAGAGGAGGGGGAGGGGATGGACATACCCAAAAAAATGGGAGGCTGGAATCCCTAGTCCCTAGAGAACGGTGCCTTCATAGATGGTGCTCAATTTGAGTTTAAAGGAACGAACCGCCATTTTTGCCCTTCTGGATGTCAATTTCTGCAATTTTCTAACGGAAGAGGATTCGGGGATGGGGATGGGGATGGGAACGGGGACGCCATTATTCTTCTTGGAGTCGGAGGGGGCGAGGTTGGAGTCCGAGTCGGAGTGGGAGTCGGAGGTGGGGTTGGGGATGAGGAGGGGAGAAATACGACCCTTCTTACGCAAGAGGGGGTCTTTAGAGGAAGCATTTTGGAGGGCGAGGCTGGCTTTGAGGGCCATGGCGGCCATGTCGGAGGCGCTCAATCGCTGGCGGAGCTTGGAGGAAGGAAGAAGGAAATAGATCTGACTGGCCAGAAGCTGGTCGTCGAGGGGCATCGGGGGAATGAAATCGTCGTAGTACAGGCTGTCGGAGTTGCAAAGAAAGGAATCGGAGGTGGAGGAAGAGGGGTTTTCGGTTTGAAGAACGCGGGAAACGGAGATGGGAGCAGGGTACTCCCGGAGATTGCCCTCTAAAGAGATCACTTTCGCGGTGGGAGTAGCCGGAGGAGGAGGGACGGAAGCTGGGGAGCACGACAAGCAGGCGCCCATAGGGATTACGATTACCGATTCAATTCAGAGTTTATTATATGTGCCCAACTTGGAAGCGGACGCAGGGAGATATATGTCTATTTCTTTGGCCCCCACAAACGGAAATTGGAATGAGGTAAGTGATGAGGAAGGAAACAGAAGCTGAGTTGCGCAATAAATTCATTCAAACCTCATCCACGGAACGCGCTTTATTTGATTTAATAGAATAGTAAAACTAACTAACTAACTAACAAAAAGATAGGCGTAGTTGTCAACGGACACGTCCAACCAAATACCAAAATGAGAAAAAAAAAAAAAACAGATAATCTCCACAATCTTGTCCCCCAAGCATATTCACAACCAAGGCAAGCACATAGAATTTAAATACAATATTGGAATAAGAAAAAGATATCATTTTGACTTTGTCTCCACCTCTATAACTACAAAAACACACAACACAACTCCTCTAGAGATGAGAGACTCTAAGACTACACGTACCACCATCCTCAGGGTCAAGACCTCAATTTAACCGCATCACCATGTCATTTTCATCCTCCATCCGTATCATATTCAACCAAAATCACCTTCACAGGACAGTGACAGCGACCACCGCCACAATGAACTAACTAGCTAATTTCAACTTACACATACAAATTCAAATTATATCCTTCATTCTTTTATTACGTCCCTTGCCTTCTATATTATTATTTTGTTGTTTTTGATGATTACCATGATATTCTTCTTTTTTAGTACAACTAGATGAGATTTACATTTTCAAATCTCACAAAAATAATTGATGTCTAGCTATATTGGTATGGCTACCTTAGTAGTTTTGTGAGGTGTATCAATTTTTTCATTGAACTTTCAATTTCATAAAATTATATTTTATAATAATTAAATAAGTGTTGCAATTTTTTACTTAGGTTAAATTTACACTATTACTCACTAATTTAAACCCAAAAACAAAAGGCAATGTAAAAATATCCATTAACTCACAAATTTAAATGAAAGTCTATAAAAACTCATGAATTTTAACAAAACACCACCTTTAATGTCTTCTTTTTTTCTCTCTTAAATATGTTAATTCTTACTATATGTGTTTTATAATTCATTAAAGAGAGATGATATTTTTTTGAACGAATTATTTTAAAAGCAAACCTATCCTAAGGTGAAAATTTAAGATGTAAGGTAAAGATTGCAAACAAATGATGAGATTGTATGCATGGAGAAGGAAGGTGTGAAAAGGAAATAGCATTGTTGTAGAAAAATTAGAGGAAAAAAAATGAAAGTAGGGAAAGTAGGGAAAGTAGGGTGAAGAATAGTTTGTTGTATGACGGTGATTAAGATGAAGCAAATTCAAAACCCCGTTTGGACTGAGCGAAGGTGTGCCTGTCCCTTCCAATTGCAACACGACCAAACTCCATTTCCCAGCCCATTTGCGCATTCTCAGCATTTCATTGTTTTGCTTTTGTCGCATAACTATTATTCAAATAGAGCAGAAGGGGAACCCAACCAATTCATATTTTACATACACCTAAACCCAAACCTCCCCGGTCTGCTACTGACTCACTTCTTGTCCTTACTAAGCTCATCAAATCGATCGCTCAATTTCAACACGCTTGGTTGCTTAAATTTATGTAAAACTTTATTAAAGCTAAGAAAGATCAGGGGAGCAAATTCAATGCCCAATCACATCAATTTTCTTTCCCCCAACCCCACTTATAGTCCCCAAAAAAAAAAAGGGTAAAGCTAAAAGTAGAAAGGATTAAACAAATAAAACACTCGCTCAATCCACTCAACTTCACCTCATCTAATTACCTTTAATTTTATCAACAACAATGCAACACCAACATCATTAGTATTACAATCTCAACGCAATTACCGACTTGGATTCTTTTCTATCCTTGGATTCAAAATGAGTCTTCTCTCTCTTACCTTACCAGTTACCACTTGCCGTTGCAGGGTAGATGGGTAGCCCAGGAGGAGTACAGTTTGGGCAAATATAATTCCACTCCCCCATCCATGGTTACAAAGGTCAGCGACTCAATCTTCATGCATCATTCGGTTCTGCTCGATCCCCAATTCCATCTCCACCACATAAATTCATAACTCATACTTACAATTCACACATTCCCACAACCAGTTCGCGACTTGGAAGACGTAAAAGCTAAAGTTGTAATGAAATTAGGAGAAGAGCTTCGCATTGGCCGTACCGATGACGTTTAGCTCAAATTCCTTAATGGTGTCGCCAAGCTTCTTCATCTTGTCGTCGTATACGAAAGGGACTTTGTTGAATATTGTGACGTTATTGATGGCGGAGATGGAGAGGAATTCCCTACAAAGTTCCCCTCTCACCATGATGGAGTTGTGGTAGTGATAGTATCTAATCTTCGACTCTGTCTTGTGCGTTGTTTTTCCAATCACATTTTCTGACATGTGTACCCCCGTAGCATATGCGTTCTTTGCTTGTATCGCGTACTTTCGATCTCTCCAGATTCCAGTCTTGCTGTCCTTGAACAGCAGCTTTTCAAAACCCCATTTCCTGACACACGGAAATATACACACACATCATCATCAGTTCAACGACAGCAACTCCAGGCTTCTTAAAATCAGACCAAGTATCTTCCCATCCCAGAAAAAAAGCCTTAAATACACAAACACAAGCCAGCAACCATCGATACCAAACTAACACTAAACCGTTAACTTCCTTCACACAAATATACATGACAAGGTCACATGGAACAGTACCTGGAGTAATTTTGGGATGAATCGTTCAAACACAGCACACTGGACATAGGGTTCTGCTCGATCGTAAATTGCGTATATTCAGATAGCTCCTCCAACACAGACTCTAAGGTGTTGCCCTCAGGCAAATAGATGTACTCGTCCACATCGAAATAAAACGTCCAATTTGCCGCGTGTCGGTATCGGTGCAGGCAATCGTTCACTATCAGGAATTGATTATAGTAATACCCATCGTATTCTGTCTGTCCTATGATGTCCTGAACTGTTACCCTTCCATCGCGCACCCACGGCTCCAGGACGGCTCTCACCTCAGGGGACACCCCACCGGCATCGTGAAACACGAAATGAGATTTAGGCCCGAAGAACCACGCATGGTATGCCATCCATTCTCTAATCCTCGCCGCACTGAGGTTCCCGTACAGAGACGAACCGCAGTACAAATATTCGTAGTCGAAAGGGGGCGGTACTTGGAGTGGTTGTAAGAGCCTGCCAATTCCTCCAACGTAGTGAACTTTTCGTACTTCCTCGGAGACTGACCATAGTACGCATTGATGGTAAGCTTTCCACCTGAATTGTCCTGATTCGGATTGAGCGGAAACGTGCAATTGATGACCACGACGGTGTAGACACGGCCATAGCCCCAATCCGGAAGAATCTTGTAGGCCTTAGCCCTGATGGAAGATCCGTTGTTGAAGATCCACTCGCATTTGTACCAGGGATGGCCGTAGACGTGAATGGGCTTGGAAGCAAGGCCGACAACAGCAAAAGTCCGGGGTCCACCTCTGTAGGCTCCCATCAGAACGAATAAAGCGGCAGCATTACCAAATGGCTGGAAAAGTCGCTTGTTGGGATCGGGGCGGATGGCGGTGGGGGTAGAGTACTTTTTGGCAGCGGCAGAAGCAGTGAAGGGGAGAGAGCCATTTGGAGCAATGGTGAGATTGGTGTGAGTGGAAATGGAAGTAGTTGTGGTGTTGGTGGGAGCGGAGCAGGAGCGGGAGGGGGTGAAGAGGAGATTCTGGTAGTAAGGAGGGAGATTCCAGAGAAGCATGACAAGAGTGAGGGCAAGACATGTGGCGACCAGAGGCCTGGCCTCGAAACAGGTGAACAGCTTACTGACGTTGGCGCCGGCGAGGGAGGCGGGCGGTCCGTCTTTCCTCATCGGCGGAAGGAAGGGGAAATTTGCTCCTCCGCGTCTCTTTCGCTGTGGCTGTGGCTGTCGGTGATGGGATAAGTGAAGCTGGGCTGGGCTATATGAATATTGAATCCACAGGGCGAGCGGTTCGGTTCGATTCGATTTCGGCTTACGAAATTCAAAGTTGCAGAGATCAAGTGAAGGCGACTACGAGAGAAAGCAAAGCTCAGAGGGTCAGCCCCATGGCCATTTATTTGGTCCCTCTTAAAAGCTAATTATCGGTTCGGGTTGGGTTGTGGGCAGGCAAAATCAAATAAGGGTCATTTGGAAGCATACACGTATCTGGATACCAGGTCCTACAATTATGGTGACCTCATATTCCTAGATCGTTGAAACATATTGATATCGATCCTCAAAAATAACAAATCTACCACTATTTAATTTGAACAATGAAGGCAAAGGAAGTAGAGGCATGAGGATGAGGGTAGAGATAGAGAAGTGCTGGATGTAGGTGCAGAGCGGAGCAGTGTACAAGTATAATTAAAATACAACACAAAGTATAATAAAAAATTGAGAAAATATTTTCTTGTCGTGTATCAGTTTAATTAACGGGTTCTGGAAAATGTGGCAGAGGATTCTTACTTTGGCAAACTCATCTTTTCAAATAAAGTAATGAAAATAAAATTGGATTGGTAAACCTGATATGGGCAGAACGGCAGCTTTATATATGTGTATATATATATGTAACGGCCATCGCAAAATATAAAATTGAATTGGGTCCGGCATTATCTACTGCGTACTCATAATCATATCAATTTTCGATTTTCGATTTCCAACAGAATTCAATTTTCACAGATTACTATATTCAAATCCTCATGATCCAATTGGAATGGTACGTTCTGGTCGGAAGTAAGATTAATCTCCTGGGTAGAATCAAAACACACATTGGGATCCTTTCACCTCAAAACACAAGTCTCAACTCGATAAATACAAGAACGAAAAGAGCTTGGCAAGACTGTCCATGATTTACCTCATGCAAGTCCAACTCGAGCCAGACCTCGAAACGCATATGCTATCAGCGAAATCCACTTGGTGGATTTATTCGTTACAAAGATACACAATTTCTAAGCAACTCAGTAAGCTCGCTCGACACCAAATCGAACTAAATACTAATTTAAGTTTTTTAGAATTTACGCAGTTGAACACAACAAAAGCTCCATGTACAAGCCACCACTAACTAAAATTAGATTAAATTATTACTTCGATTAATATATTTTAAATTTGTGGTAGTCATGCACTAAAATTTTTAGTTATTATTTTTATTCATTGATTAAAATATTACCAGACATGTACACTATTAGTGATGTGAGGAGCAGTGGAAATACATAGACAATTTCATTCACCGATGTTTGAGATCTGTTCTATGTATTGTTGATATCAAATATGAATTTGAGACAAATTTAAAAACACTCTTTTAACTAAAATGTAAAAGTACTACTAAAACTGAGTTTGTTTTAAATAGTAACGAAAATAATGTGTATTATAGTTTGTTTTTCAACAAGATGAGAATTTAAACACATCTAACAATTAACTTATTGAGTTATCTGCATTCACAAATAATTGCAAATAATTTGATTATATTGTTGAAAATTTATCTTTTCATTTTTCTTAATACCTCTAATATATTTTAATTTAATGGTGGGCATCGCTAACGGCTTAGGAGCCGACTCGACATCAACGACTTCGTGCCCAATAATGATGAATATTTTTTAATTTTAACGTGAAATTAACATTAAAGCTGACTGAATAAATATATAATTTAATCGTAAAACTAATATTAATGAAATTCAATTAGAGGCAACTTTAAATATAAAACGATCTTATAATAAGTAAAAGATAAATAATTAATTTTAATTAAACATTAATTGATTGATAAGTCAACGTAAGAACTTAGCTGAGCGATAATTGGCACACCTCTCTAATCAATAGATCATGGGTTCGAATTCCCCACCTCACTTTTACTAAACAAAATTAATTGATAATTATCTAACAAAAACAAATTATTATACTAAATTAAATGCAGTAATTAAAGTTAGTCAATACAGAATAATAGAATGGTGTTAAGTATTAATCAATCAATTGTTGATAGTAGTTAATAGAGACAAATTAGTATTATTAAACTGGTAATAAATAAATAATTGATTATGCTGTCATCTTTTGCGTTGTGTTTGGGGATTTTTCTATATATGATTGAATAATTATTTTGTAAGTTCTTAATAGTTAAGTTCTGTCAACTATATGAGTATTTAAATATCAATATGAACACCTTAAACAATCAATTACGAAATACATCATATTGAGGGGTTATAGGCAACTCCATTTAACTAAATTTAAAAATTTAATTTATTTTAACATTAAAGATGTTTTTTTTGCGGTTAACTTTAAAAAAATATCAAAGATATATCATTTGTTACTGTCTAACAAAGTCTATTACGGTGAACTTAACTCAGCAGAAAGTGGTACTTGTCTCTAATAAAGAGGTCACAAGTTCAGATCTTTCCACTCCCACTCATTGTCGTAAAAAAATTGACTTATCAAATATATTTTTCTTATTTTAGTACAACAAATGTTCCTCAAAGTTATTAAGAGAATAAATTGATGGAAAATTAAATCAAATGAAATAATATATATAAGTTACAATGGTCTTCATAAATAATATGCGTTATTTCAAACGCTTAAAGCAAGAGACAATTATGTGGAGTCTCCCTCTAATGTTCTGTTTACTTACCATTTAGGAATAAAGATTGTAAATGAGTAGGAGAAGCATATTCTTCTCATTCATATATTTTTGTCTGCGAGAGGAGAGGATTTGAATTTTGAAAGAGAAGAAAAAGTTGGTAATCTCCTGCCACAACTTTTAACTTCAAGAAGAGAATGTCATGAAAATTTGTACAGAAATTTGTTAAAATCCATATAAATGAATTAAATTTACCCAACCCATCAGCTTAAGCTTTTGGATTGAGTGGTGGTTTGTTCATTCTTAAGATGGTATCAGAGCGGGAGATCTTTTCCAAACCCACAAGTGAGAGGGAGCGTTAGAATCAATTAAATTTACCTAACCCATCAACTTAAGCTTTTGGGTTGAGTGGTGGTTTGTTCATTCTTAAGAAAATTGGTTAACATAATAATGTTTAGGACATTGATTAATTTACGAGCATGTTGAAATAACTTAATTATATAATGACACCAGAGTTATTAAGGCAGAACCAAAAAAAGAAATAACAGGAATCCACTAGTGAACTCAAAAGAAACAAAAATCCATTCATTGAATATTATATTATATAGACATATTAGTTGGTAGCCGGAGGGGGAGGGCTGTGGTTGAATTATTCCAAACTGGACGATTATCTAAATATTCGATTATGTATTAAATATGTTGGCCGCCGAGGGAAGAAATAAATAAAAGAGAGGGAGAGGATTGCCGAAGCTGTGGCCGCCAATGCGAACTTGTCATCATTATTGGGTTATTGCTTTTCAAATTAAGCAAATAGTTATTCTGAAAATAATAATAATAATTAAAATACTTGGCCTGTCTGCCTGCCCATTCCACATAATACAAAGGAAAATTATTAGGCGTCATCTTAACCAAAACAATACACAATTATGGCCGCAATCATGGAATTACCACTTTACCATCTTTTTTTTTTCTTCTTGTTATTCTGTCTCTAGAACACGCCCTCCTTTTTCTTCTATTATTATAATCATTTCACTTCAACTAATCAGATTCCAACTATATAATGAATATCATTATCCAGTTTTGCAGTATGGATATTAGTTTGTCGCATAATATTTGAGGCCTTTCTGGAAGATGCACTTTACAGAGAGAGAAGGGGTTTGAGGTGGGCTATCCCATTCCCTGTAGGCCCAATATAATTGAGGAAGGGATCTGCCAGCGGCCCAGCTCCAACTATTTAATCGTTGAACTGGAAGTTGAACCCCAAGCGTTTGCAGCCATTAAATATTATATTAATTAGAGAAAAGAAAAGAGAAGAAGAAGAAGAAGAAGAAGAAGAAGAAGTGGAAAACTTAGGTGCAGTTGCAGTGGAAGTGGAGAAATGAGAGTGGAAATTGGAAGAGTAAATCATGGTGGGCAGGCTGCAGGCACGTGGCCATGAGTTTAATCTAAATATTGATTATATTATTAGGGTAGGACTTAGGAGACGTTACCAACAAATTAGAAACCTTAATGATTGTTGCCGTGTAGGCACACGCACACATAAAAATTGGAATCCAAGATTCCTGGTCATCAATTGAATATTTATACGTCTCAAAAGAAAAGGAAAAAAAAAAGTGGAGGTTTTGCACTCAAAAGTCCAAAAGTTAGAAAAGAAAAAATACCCCCTTCCTTCCCCTTACCAATACCAACCAAGGGAATCACTAAAAGATGCCCGTTCCTTCTTTTTCTCTCTCTCTCTTTCAATAAGAATTCAAAAGAGAAAAATCAAATTAAAGAAAGCTGAAGCTAGCTGTCTCTATCTGAATATTATCATTTGGATAGTTAAAAATATTGACACTTAAAATAGATGAATACATAAATAAGTGTGAATTAGTAAGTATTTGAATTTATTATTTATTAATAGGTAGTGCACATCTCCATCTTGCGTGAATCTAGGGAAATAGAAATGATTTCAACAAAAGCTGCAAAATTTATCTTTAAGAAATGAAATTGGGAATCGAATATTAGCCAGAGATTACACAACACAATTAATGATACGTATTGTATTGGGTAATGGGTAATGGGTAATGGAGGGACAGTGACATCGATGGATGGGGCGCTGGGTGGATGCAAATTGCCACATGCGTCTGCCCCCTAACTTCCTTTCCTTTCCTTTCCTTTCCTTTCCTTGCAACTTAATTAATTTAGCTTAAAAGACAAAGCTTGACTTTTGTGCTCCCAATCCCAAAAAGCCTTGCTACCTTTTAGATTTTGAAGATCACATTAGAAACTTCCCCTCCCCTCCCCACTCAAAAATCAGAATCCACACTCCTCTCCTGGGCCCTCCCTTTTATTCCCATGCACAAATTGTTATTGGGTTTTAATTTGCCACCTTTTCAGGACCTAATTAATTAATATATATATATCCATCATTTTAAAATTATCCATATCTCAGTTTTTTCTTTTTAATTCAATTCCATCCATGATATTTTACAAAAATAACATCACTCAGCTACAGCTACAGCTTCATATACGCGCATAGATTCCACATACATATATATGTTTCGGTAAAGTTAATTAGTTTACCACAGCACCGTATATTCCGCACTGCCTCTTTGCAGCCTGCAAACTTGGGATTTTACTTGGCATGCCATGTCATCAACACGCCAATAATTTCCGGGAATGGTAAAAAATTGCTTTACCGTCCAATCGTTGAAATTTGTCCTACCAATTACCATTATAGAATTTCTTGTGTCTTTCCTAAGAACTAAAAAGGGCGAGGTTCCCTTTTTTTTTTTCCTAAAGAAATATATTCAGTCTTTTCCGTATGCAATTTAGTCAAGGGGCCGGGGTGGCTTTCCTAGCTGGGTGGCATGCATTGTGTGGTACATGGCGTTCAAATAGTTTCAGGCAATTGAGCTTAAATACTCTTCCACCTCTGGATGGAATTTAGAATTGTATAGGTAGTGTGAAGAGTGAAGAGGGGAAAGAAAGAGAGAATGAAGGGGCCGTTGAAGAAGAGCAAAACGTTTTTGGTGCAGAAGAACCAGATGATGGCGACGGGCGCAAGAGATATTGAATTCCCGATCTCTCCCCAGCTGATATACGGGGAAGAGATGGTCCATTTTAGTCATCCCGGACACCCGCTGTCCCGCGTATGCGTTCCGGACCTGTTCACTTGCAGTGGGTGCAAGGAGTACGGCGCGGGTAACCGATTCAGTTGCCAACAATGCGATTTCCAGCTGCACGACTTCTGCGCCTTGTCTCCTCCGGCTCTCAAGGCCCATCCCTTCCATTCCCACCACCAGCTGCTGTTTTACTCTAAGCCGGGTAGGTATATATGCAATTTAATTTAATCAATGGAATGAATTTGAATTATTAATGGGTGGGTTGGGTTGGGTTGCAGTAAAAGGCGGAATAATGCAGTCGAAGTGCGATGTTTGCGCAAAAGGGATAAAGGGATTCGCGTTTCGATGCGGGGTATGCAGCAGCTTCCAGATGCACCCTTGCTGCGCCATGTTTAGTTGGGAAGTGAACCTGCCGTCTCTGCACGCGCACGCCCTGAGTCTGAGGATGTCAAGTGGAGGTGGAGGTGACAGCTCCAGCAGCAGCTGCGGGGAGTGCAAGCGGAGGAGGTCCGGGAGAGTGTACCGTTGCAGGACGTGCGATTACGAGGTGCATGCGGTGTGCGCCAAGAACGTGAAAAACGGCCTCCGCGACAACGGACACAAGGGCGGGAGCGAGAAGGGGGGGAGCGTGCTGGGGACGGCTGCCAGGCTGGCATCTCAGGTGGTGGTGGAGTTCTTGGGAGGAATCATCGAGGGCCTCGGAGAAGGGGTTGGGGAAGCCTTCGTCCAGAACATCAAAGGCAAGGGCGGCCCCACCCCACCACTTCAACTTCAACCTCATCCTCGTCCTCATCCTTGATTCATTCGCCTTCATCCTCCTATTCCCTAATTCCTAGCTCGTCTGCGTTTCTGCCGTTTCTCTTTCTCTTTCTGTTTCATATATATATATATATATATATATATATATATATATCTTTCTTTCTCGCCTATTTTAATTTGTTCATTATATATCGTCCTTCTGTTCCTGTACCATACTGTCATATATATTAATTTTTGCAGCTTCCAAATATGTGACCTTTTCGGACCACTTGTCAAAATTACTTTTATCTTCCATATTTATATTCTCTTCCATTCCCAAATATATTATATGCTAATTTTTTTTTAATTTCATATAGATAACGGGTAAATTGAGGTACAAAAAACAGAAACACAGCCACCCAACTCCCATCCCTTCATCCCCCACGACTCGTGGAATATTATTTATATTTGGTCGGAACACTTCTTTTCTTCTTTTACATATACACTCAACTTGGTAAAAATAAATAACATATATTTAATTAATTAATGGAAGCTAACCGAAAAACATTAACTGAAACTCTGACAAATTTGACATTTAATGATAGTAAAAAAAATATATCATTGGTAAAAATAATAACATAACAATGTTAAAGTTCACACACATATATACATACATATATATATATATTTGGATATTTAGCCTTTAATACACCCGTATTTGTTTTTATTCTACTCAAACTATATGTACCCATATGTATGTGTTTCAGTCATAATACCCAATGCACCTAAATACAACCAATCACATACTCATTTAGGTTGTATAGAAAATTTTTGGAGAAGAATCAAAATGCGTAACTTTGCTTTATAGGATTATTCTTAGATAATTGTGAAATATTGAATCAATCAATAAATCAGAATTAATTAATCCTCATTTTCCCCCACAATTTAAGTTTAATCTATATGTTCATTTGTTTCATTTTAAATACAAAAATCAGTAGAATTTTAGTTCTGATAATGGAATCATCCACTTCAACTGGTTAGTTTTATGGTAGTTAATTCATGTAAATAAACTCATTAACATTACCAAAAGGATAAATATTTAAATACTTGTTCACAGGTAGGGGAGAAAAATAAAAAAATTTATATTTGTTAAAAATAATGAGTTGTTAAGTTTTTAATAATGATCCACATAAATAATATTATATTGGTGTTCATGACCAGTCAACACTTTAATATTATTATTATTATTTATTTTAGAAAAAACACTTCAATATTGTTCTTACTTTAATCAAATAAGTTACCTATGAAACTAGCATCATCTCCGTTTAGTTATAAACAATTGTGAACAATTGATTATTAAATCAGTTTTAATTAATTAATAGATGTTGAGAAAGTCTGGTTAATTAATTACGGTGGAGTATTATCTAAAAGAAGAAAACACTGATGAATTGATTAATTTAAATAGATATAAATTGTATAGCCTAATTTACCCTTGATTGACGTGTATAACTTAGCAGCAAGTTATATGTAAAAGAAATGGGTCACCGGGGCGCACCGTAAGCGTAAGCATGAGGTTGGAAGGCAGAGATGGATATGGGGTATGAATCCTCGGCCTCAGGCTCATGTTGTTGCCCTTCCAGTTCCCCTTCTGGTTCCGGTTCCAGCAGAGTTTCTGTGTCTTCCCCATACCTTTTCAAGCCTTCGAGCTCCACCACCACTTGCCTCATCGTGGGCCTCTCGTCCCCCTTCAGCTTCAGGCATTTCCTCGCCAACTCCGCCGCTCCTATTACTTCCTCTCTCTTTCCCTCCCTCAGCACCCTCCCATCCACTATACTAAACAGTCTCTTCTGCCGCAACGACGCTATAAAATACGACGACAGGTTTCTCTCCGATTCTGATCTATCGAACGACACCGGCAGCTCCCCCGTCAACAGCTCCACCAGAACCACCCCGAAGCTGTACACGTCGCTCTTCTCCGTCAGTTGACTCGTTTGGAAGTATTCCGGGTCCAAGTACCCGAACGTACCCTGAACCAGCGTCGTTATCTGGGACCGGTCCATTGGAATTAACCTCGAAGCTCCGAAATCGGCCACTTTGGCGGTGCATTTCCTGTCCAGCAATATGTTCGCCGACTTCACGTCTCTGTGAATGATGGGTGTGGATGCTGCGGAGTGCAGGTACGACAGAGCGGCGGCCGTCTCCGTGGCTATTCTCAGACGGTCATCCCAAGACATTGAATTGAAGGTGCTGCTTTGACTTTCGTGAATGTGGGCGTGCAGAGTCCCATTGGACACGAATTCGTAGACCAGCAGAGGAACTTCCGTCTCCAGGCAGCACCCCATCAGCTTTACCACATTCCGGTGGTTGATTTGGGCCAGAATTCTGACTTCGTTGATGAACTGTTCGATTTGGCTCTCATCCGAAATCTTGGACTTCTTAATCGCCACTATTCTTCCGTCTGGTAGAATTCCTTTGTAAACAGTCCCGTTACCGCCCCTGCCCAGGATTCGAGTCTCCGCGTAATTGTCGGTAGCTTTCTCAAGCTCCTCGGAGGTGAAGATTTTAGTGGAGTCAACGGTGGGTTCGTGTTGGGATAACTGCTGCCGCAATAACAAGCCCCCGTTCTGGAGGAAGAATTTCTGTCGGAGTTTAACGAGGTTCCTCTTCTTGAGGGTGAAGTAAACCCATGTGGCTGCGACGACGAGAAGAAGGAGAGCGGAGCCAATACCTGAGCGCAGGAAGAGGAGAATGGAGCAATGTAAATGTTCGAAGGAAATGGGAAAGAAGATTAAGAGGGGTTTTACCGACAGTGAGCTGAACAAGCGGAAATTGCTTGGTTTTGGTGATGCAGCCCTTGCCGTGTTTGGTACCATCGCCGTAGGAACCATGGGGACACGTACAGTAATAACTTCCAGGGGTATTCACGCATATGCCTTCGCAAGGGTTGTTATCCGGAGCCCCCTCGCACTCGTCAATATCTTCACGGCATTAATTTAATTTATATTAAGAATACCAGTAATTAACCACCATTTCCGTTAAGTGAAATACAATAGAGTAGAAGTAGAGCGGGCAGTACCTTGGCATCCAGGAGTGAGATATGGGTTCCCTTTGAAGCCTTGGCTGCACCGGCACTGATAACCGCTCCCGCTCTCGGAATCATAACATTGGGTATTGGGCTGGCAGACATACTCTGACAACCCCTTGCGAGCATCTTCGCACGTCCGGTTACCGACCACCCAGTTGAGAACCACGGGCAAATTTGTAAGGGTGGACCCAAAGGTGGGGTCGGCGAGATGAGAGGGATGGAAGGTGTAGCGTTCTTGGTCGACTAGGAAGGCGTAGCTGCAAGGGTTGAACTGCCAGATTTTGGTATGGTTGTTGAGGTTCCCAATGATGCTTTGGAAGCGCTTGAGGCCTCTGGGGACGGCGGTCTGGCAGCATCCGATGCCGGAGCAGGAGCCGTTGATGACGGAGTCCTGGTTGGCGCACAAGGAAACGCATCCGCTGGTGTAGGAGAGGCCCTGGGAGCCGGAGATGAGGGCCAAGGTGTCGCACCCGATGACGGTGAACTTGTTGGTTGTGGAGAAGAAGAGAGGGAGGCGGCCCAGATTGATCCAGGAGGGGGATGTGTCGATGAGGGCCCCGGTTTGGGAATAGCAATTGAAGGCCACGAAGTTGCGTATGCGGAGGCGGGCCTGGCTCAAAGAAATTTCTAGAACTTGAAGGTTAGAAGTTCCGATGAAGGGTATTGGGGGATGGTAGGAGGAATTGCAAGTAATGTCAAACCCAGCGCCCATGGAGCAGCCCGGGCCCATGCCAAAAGGATACGGAACGGTGACGTTTCCACAGCTGGAAGGGCATCCTGGCTTGGTGTCGGCCACGGCCACGCGGGAACATTCTAAAAGAATGAATGGAAGAAGAAGATGGAAGAGCAACGGCATTTTGGATTGTGGATTGTGGAGGAGAGGGAGAGGTAGAGGGAAGCGAAACCGGAGAAGAGTTGACTCAGGAAAACAAACAACACCACAAGGAAGGAGAACGCAACCTACATAATAATTTATTTTAATGAATGGGGATAATGGGGATGGACGCAGTTTTTGAAGTCAAACCCCCTTCACTTACTGAACAAACTAATCAATGGGTGGAGGATGTGAACAATTTATTTTTTATAATAATTACATTTTCTTAATTATTTATTTCCAATGTACATTAGCTTTTATATTAAAACAAATCCCTTTGGAATGGATTTGGTTAATGATCAAAATAATAGTTCAATGAAAACAGAGTTACAATGCATTTTTTATGTTTTTAGTATATATTTAGTAGTAGATTTGAAAATTAAATCTAAAAACAACAAGTCAATTAAAAATAACTCATTTTGAGCTGCGCCAACCAGTTAGTATCTAAAAAAGTCAAAATGTTCACAACATCAAATATGGTAGGACTTGATTAAAATTTATTTTCTTATGATTATTTTTAAGATCTTCTTTCCACGAGAAACTTATTATATCATATTAATGAGATGGGAAAATATTGATTAAAATTAGGCTGTGTAATAATTTACTCCTGAATTAATTAGAGGTGATAGAATAAAATGGTAACAGTTGTTTTTTAATATTAAGTTATTAACCACCTGTATTAGCTAAATTAAATTTTTTTAAAAAAAAAAGATGAATTTAAAGTTTTACAAAAATGCTGAAAAAAAAGTTAATTACTAATTAGTATGAAATAATAGAGGTGCCTTAATATAAAATAATAATTGACTAAGATTAATATGAAATAATTAAGATAAACCTATAAATAGTAATTAAATTTGATGACCAATCAATGAACTCAGAATTGCTAAAAAAATTCTATTATTCTATCAATGTTTTCAATTATTCAACGACAAAGAAGACAGTTTTACCCCTGAAAAATGATTATCCAAGTTCTGAAAAAGAAAAAGAGATGAAGATAATAAATGCAGGAAACAAAGAATTTAGGAAATGATAATAGCAAAAGAAAAGGTGTTGGTTCAACTGGAATAGAAAACGTTGGGTACAGAACAGTCAATTGCCACTTGGGCCTCTTTTTCTCCAGAAAAAGTCTGTAGAAGTATAAATGTGATTGGATCAACTTTACAATGTGTTGTTTTAGACGGCAACTGTAATATATAATTATATATATTAGATTATATTCATACTACTACTTACTGTATGGCTTCCTACTAAGAAACAATAATATATATATATATATATATAGAAAGAAAGAGGGGAAAAAAAAAAAGAAAAAGAGGGCAGGGAGGTGAGAGGGGTCGGGAGAAGGCCAGATCACCAAAGAAAATCAAACCTTTCAATCTCTTTCCATCCTTTCTTCTCCAAGCATTCATCATCATTCCCAACCTTCTTTCTTGAATTCAACTTCGGCGTCCAGCGGCGCCTTCTCTTACATTTCAAAACCCCAAACCTTTTGTCTTCTGTCTTGTCCACACTTCACAGCAGCAATAATACAATACCATTGGTTGACCTCTTCTTCATTAGCTAAACCTCAACAACTTCAACTAGTATTTCCTCCCTTATCTTGTTTCTTTTTCACAGGAAGGGCTTCGTCTTATCAACCACTGCTTCCTTCTTCGGCCTTCACCACTTTGCTCCCACATTTTTTTCTATTCGTTGACTCTCTCCGAGTCCATACAAACTTAAATAGTCCCATACCCCAAGTTCTCCCATTTGAATGGGGCAACTAAACCAATGTCCGGGGAACCTCGCAAGAATAGGCACACGCAAACGCACACCGCAGCTATAGCAAGCATTGAATGAATGTAGGGGCGATGAAGCATCCTGTGTGTCCCACTCCCAGGCACCCTCCTGTTGCACTTTGCTGCAACAATTGCACACCTGGAGCAGGATCTAGCCTGCACCCTGCCCCCCTCACCACTTGACACCTGTAGTTGCTCTATCTCATTCCCAATTCTCACCGAAACTTGACCATTCTTTCTGTCACCAAGCTTCCGATTTACCAACTCGTCACAAGAATTATTACCCCTCATTAAAGCATATGCCCGTGCCGACTGTCCGCTTGCGTCTAATTGGGAACTCCAGCACTTCAATCCAATCTGCAATTTCCAAAGAAGAAATTAACAGAGTGTATCACTTTTCCTGTGTCAGCCACTACAATAACCTCATGAATAATAAGATAATGAATTTTTTTTAATTAAAACTTTCGCAAGATATTCATATTATTCTGAAAAATGAGAATTTTTTAAAGATAGAATAAATTACTGAGGGTCGCTTAGGCATCTTTTTGAGAAGTACACCATAGGCACGATTTTAAGGATTTTCAGAACACTAAGCACACCTCATATAATCATTGATATCTGAGCCTTTTAAGATAGCTTCAAGACGATGTCAGAGTATACAGTAATGTAAAACATGCTTCTTGTCCTCAAAAGGAAATCAGGTCATGTTTTTTTTCTACCGAGGTAATTGAAATATAAACAAGCAACTAGATATTACCTCCAGCGGGTCATTTGTCAGTGCATCAACCATATCATCTGCATCTGTCATTGAAGCTGCCAAATGCAGAGGTGTAACACCACCAGGACCTATAAAATTCGGTGGAAAGAGGTATTTTTTCTCCGTATCACCGATGCCAGATACACAATAATGGACGAGTAAATCAACCATCCGTCTGCACCTCCTCTTCACTGCCCGGTTCAAGAGCTGAATCTCAGATATCATTTCCAAAGATTTCATTGGAAGCCCATCTGTGATCAAGCATTTCTTTACCAGAATGTCAAGAAGTGTTTTAACCAACGCACAAAAGTCCCTCTCTGCTGAGAACGCGAGTAAAAGTTTGAACCGCCTAATTAAAATATCTGGATTATCTAGCTCAGAAGAGAACCTTTCTCTCTGGAATAGCCATCCAAGTTCATTCAAGAACTGCAAATTTTCATCCTTTAGCCTTGGCTGCGCAGGAACATATGAATGACTTTCTGAACTGATATCTGGTACTTTAAACTCATCAAACTCGGACTCAAGATGCCTCAACTCCTTACAGATGGCAGCATCAGCTATAATAATAGGGAAACTATTTCCTCTAAAACCATTTTCCACCTGTTAGTGTTATTTATACAGTTGATTAAAACAATGATTTTGTAAGAAACTTTTAGTTGTAGCGCAGACTTGTGCTAATTCAAGCCAAACAATTACCTCAATGAAACAACGACCAAGAGTTGTAGGTGATGCATCCCCAATTTTGAAACTTCCAGAGTGTATCTCATCGTATATGACTCCCTGCCTGCTTAATCCCATTACTTCTTCGGATATGTAGCCACCCATAGATGTGAAATGAATCCTACAGAGTTGTGAAGTGTCAATTCCAGAAAAGAACAAAGATAAAAGCAATAAAAATCATCCCATTACAACATTGGACTTACTTGGTACCAGGAGTTTTCAAATTCCTTCCCCTTAATAAAAAGGAGGTCTTCTGTCCACCAACAACTGCCAAAGGTGACACGGAGATTAACTCTGGATTACTCCATGCTTTTAAGGACTTGTACGGGCGAATCTTCCCTGAAAACCGAATTAGTAGAAACAAAAGTTTACACAAGGATTACAATGAATCCAATACCTACTGTTTCAAGGACCAAAGACTATCAACCTCTTCATGAGCAAAATCAGAGATAAAAAGAAGTGTTGCTGATTATTATTAAATAATCAACAGCAAGAAGCTCAAATTCAAAAAGACAAAGACCACTACCCTGGTAAGTTCTCACCATCCTTGTGTGACGCTAGTTGCCTCCCAGTGTAAACTAAAAATCTTCCACTTCTCCAAAAATCAAGCTCTTCACTATGAACCAAAGATTTAACATGAAGAACCAAATTTTCTTCAAGCTGCAAAGAACAAGTAACACTAGTTAGTGCTCAAAGGTTCGGCACTACAACTTCAAACCTGGACAACAGTTCTTTACTCACCTGTTCCCATGCAATGGATGACATAGACATATAAATTGACAGAACCACACAACCTGGCCGTATGTAGCTTTCCATTTCAGATGGACAATTAGACAGCCAATTGAATATCTAAAACATTAGAATCACAACCTTCAGAATTTTTTCTAACATAGGCAATTGCAGCATTTTTTGCAAATAATGAAGAAACTAGAATCTTACTTGTGTCCGCAATGTCCCTGGAAATTGACTGGGATCCTTGTCAAAGAGTTTAAAACTTATCCTTCCAGTGCGATCCTGAAAAATGTTGTTCAAGTCACAATAAAGAACAATGACATCAAATGCATACACGAAACACACACATATACATACAAACCAGAACGTATTCAGCAGAGTACCTGAGCATCAGAATTTAAACTAGAAGGCGAATGATCAGACCCTGAAGAAGTGTATCCAGCTTGATATGGAAGAGTTCGAAACAAATCTCGGTCAGCCCCTCTATCTGACTCTCTGAAGAGTTCAAAGGGAATATTGCTACTAGGAGGCTTTCGAACCTCAACGATTCCACTAACTTCTTTTCTGAAGGGTATTTTCCCATTATTGGTAGTTTCTTCTATGCTTTGCACAGGAAACAACTTTTGAAGGAGAGGAGGCGAGGATGACGGAGACCTCTCTTCAATAGGATTACTGCTATCAGAAGAAAAGTACTTCCTAGAAGCCGCCAAGTTTGGTGGAGCATCATGTTCAGGCGAAGAGCTAAACAGCTGAAGTGGCAAACCAACTCGAGTTCCTTGAACTTGTCCATCCGAATCTTCCATGGGAGACTGGTAACTGGTGCTGCTCCTTTCTCCTCCTCCTCCAACTGAAGGAAGTTCGAGAGGCCTATTCTGGAGATCAGAACCAGATGGACACGATGACCTTGTTTTTTCGCTATCACTACTCAGGCTGCTCTTTTGCGACAGCATCGCAAGAGCATCTGGAGCTGATGCTGCTAAAGTAGCTGAAAGCACAGTGAGCAAGTCCATGGTGGAAGGAGAAGATGCATTTCCATTTAATTTGTTTTGGTGCTGGAAAGAACTTTGTGGAGCAGCCTTCCCCCTAAAATTTTCTAAATTGGGCAACTTTGCTGCAAGGTCTGCTGGTAAAGGAAGTGAATTGATCTTATTGAGGATCTGAATGAGCTGGTCACTATTTGATGACAACAAGCTTTTCACACTCTGGTCTTCGTTTTTTCCTGATGTTTCAAATCAATGTATTAAAACAAAAGTCAGAAGGGGGAAGGAAGAAACAAATAGCTACTAGACACTTTGATCGGGCAATTGCTTGACCTTGAGCCCGAGCCAGAAGGGTCAATAGACTGACGATGTCCAAATTCCCACTGCTCGGGGGTCCCCTGCTTCCTGGGCGGGTCAGCCTTGAGGATACGTCCTCGGGCTGTGTTTTCCTTCTACGCCAGTTGTGCCCCGCAAGTCTCCTCCGACAACTCCTCTTCCCATCATCGAATTCCGAAAGTGGGTGAAATCTGAGAATAAGGTTAATAACAGCAATAGCAGTTAAAAGTTTATCCGAACTTGGAGGCATGTTGGTGAATTTCTGGCGCATAAAAACAAGATGTAGAAATAAAAATTAAAAAGGGCATACATAAGAAACTATAGGAAGGAAAAGTAACCTGCTGCACTGTTGGCAGAACCTCTGCATCAGCTTAGCAACTAGGGCTTTGGAGGATTTGCTATGGACCTCGCAAACTTTATGTCTGCGGTGATAGTCCTTGGCAGTCGACAGATCCTCCTTACAATTATCGACCTGGCACATAGGGTAGGTGGGGGTGCCCGTGGCGGTGCCGGTGCCGGCGCCGGGAGATCCAGGGCGGACCTTCTTGGGGGGCTTCGACACGGGCTCCTCCACGTG